TTCGAGAGCTCAATAGAAAATATATGATTGGCTAATTTTGTTGTTGTTTGAACACATTAAACAACAACTAAATTATCCAATTGCGCTATTTATGCTATCTATGCACCGGATCGTGAATACCCCTATTAAATTATTGCTTCAAGAGAAAATAAGCTCACTCGAGAGAAGTTGTTTTGTCAAAAGTCCACAGATACATACGTATGTATGTACATATGTATGTATGTATGTACATACAGAGGGGTACGTATTTGCGAACAGGTTCTATCGCATCAGATTCGCTTTCAGTATAATTGCTCTAATTGAACACAAATAACTATATTATACAACATAAAATAGACACCATACCATTAACACTTTTGCGAATGTTGCATAATCGCATTAAAAGCCACTTCACCTGCGCCAAACTCCACAAATCGCACAATTCTTCAGTTCATTTGTGTGATGCTCGTTGAGGGTCTTATTCGTTTTATTATTATTTTTTTGACAATTCAGTGTACCCCAGATAGCAATCATAATTGCGTGTACCAAAGTAATAAAATAAATACAGCCGTCCAACAGCAGCTTGCACTACCACCGATCAGGGCAGCTCTGGCTGGCTCAACCAAGTCAGAGTTAAAATACAAAAAGTGTTGAGAGGCAAGCATTCATGTGGTTGCTTGGTCTGTTGGTTCGTTGGTTGTTTGGTTGTTTGGTAACCGCTTGGCGCACACCAACAATAAAACATTTTCTGGTGGTGCTGGTGCTGGTTTCGAATTCAGTATTGTGTTTGGTTAACTGGCATCACACAAATACTCGTTTCTTTGGTTGTATGTTTTTCTTTTGCTGGCTGTTGGGCTGTTCGGAATGCGGTGGAAGTGACATTCAGCCATCAGCACACAAGAATCCGCGCCCAACCCGCCGAGCGACGGTCGGTTGGCCAGTTGGCAGAGAATTAACAGTAACAAAAGTATCGTGGAAACCTCATAATTGCACGTCGCCAAGCAGCAGGGCACCACACAAGCGGCACGCAGCCAAGACCCCGTTTAGTGAGCCAACCAACGACTACAGCAGTGGCGGTGGAGCAAGGTGTCTCCAACGTCCAGCCAGTAAGTCAGTCACAGGTGTTGCGCTACATGTGACCGAGCGCGCTGCTGGCTATGTGAATGACTGATGGATGATATGATGCCATATTTACATAATATGCGTATGTAAGTACATATGTATGTACATATGCATGTACTAGCGATGTTAATTTTTTCGCTTTTTACGATCCCGGGATTTTCGGGATGTCGTTATCACAATCCCGGCATTAGTCCCGGGATTTAGATATTCATTACTTTTCCACAACTTAAATCGAAAAAATTGCTTCTAAGTATATGTATTGTTTGAGAGGCTCTCCTACCATAAAATAAATAATAAATAAATGGGTTTGAAACCTACTTTTTTACTTAAAGTGGCGTTTGTATTTATTTTCCCTCTGACGTCAGGATTTATTTTAAAGAACTTTGTAATTTCAAAGATATGACTAATTCCAAAAATTATTTAAAAGCTTCAATGCAACGTAGAATTAAAATATGGGTACCAAAGGTAAGAGGAAATTTCTTTAGAATTAAAAAAAAAAAATTTTTTTGGATTAACAAGGACGATAAAGTTAGAACGACGAAATTCGAGGATGTTATCGAGTTTATACAAGTCCTTTACATATAATTTTTTCAAAAACAAATATTGCGAAACATCAAAGACAAAATTTTAAACGGACATTTTCAACACTTACCAGTCCTTCTGCACCAAAAACTTGAATCTGTTTAAATTCTACAGGATTTCCTCTTCAATTTGATACTCACACTTCTTCTCTAAGCCCATTTCTCAGAATTTTTTTTAAATCATGTTGTTTTCGTGAATATATTGATATTTGTGTTTAAAATTTACTATCGCGCGATGTTATATGTATAATCAGCTAGACATTTATAAAAAAAATATTAATTGGCGATGGCATTTTTTGTTAATGTCATTAGATTTGCACAGTTCAATCGATTTAAAAAAAAATGAGGTGTCAAAGGAAAAAGCTTGACCTTCCGATTTGCAGTAAGGTTCTTTTTTTCGAAGAGGGTTGCAACCTGTGCGAAAAATAAAAAAATGTGGGCTGTTCGTTAGATTACAGGAAATGAGGTGTGAAATGGAAGGACTTGGCCTCCAGATGCGCAATCATAAATTATTTTTTAGTTGGGTTGCAACCTGTTTAGCTGTCAATCGCGCATACGAGGCCGGCTAGTTATTAAATAAAAAAAGAAATATAGCCAATACTGGTCAAGAAAAGGAGGTTCTATTATTGCCATCAGTGCAAATTACAAATCCCGAATATCCCAAGATTACTTGCCAAGAGTCCCAGGATTTTTGGGACCCTAAAAAGGCCGGGATCCTAGGATTCCGGGATTAACATTCCTAATACATACATATGTACATAAGTAAAAATCTATATACTCGACTGACACACATACTTACATACATATATACAGACGTGCATACATATGTAAATAGTCATATTAACTATGTAGGCTAAGCCTGTATGGCCCAGTGAGGCGCTTGTCAGAATTTACACTAAGTTGGAGATTTGTTTAGCTGCTCTGCTATTTGTCTCAGGCCGGTAATCGTGTTCCCTTGCGCCTTCTAAGATACGCTTGGCAGCGCAGGCTTTTGCTAGTTGGCTGTTAAGGTATCTATCTACGACCCTCTCATCTCTTTTGATCCGCAAAATAGATTTTCGTTTCCTTTTTTAACTTATATTTTTTACGCTCAAAAACAGTTAAGAACAACAATGCTAATGTTTACATACATATGTATGTATGTATGTATGCATGTACGGTGTTTGCGCATTTTTGTCCATTATTCTGGTGCAAACACAATGCTAAATAGAATGCGATCTTGGGCGCTACGCTCCGTTTCGCACATTGTGGCCATACAAAAAGCACAGTGAAAGGCGCGCCCGTCTAGTTGAGTGACTCTCGTCTGGCTGCTGTTAGACAACATCTTGTCTGTTAGCTTGATGTTTTGCATTTTCTGTTGGTTGTTACTACAATACATATTTACACTGGGAACTTTGACAGCAGCGAAATTCTATACAGAACTCATTTTCCACACTGTCGTTGCTTTTTCGATTTACTACTTGGAAAAACGGCCCTAAATCTGTTAACTGTATCTAATGTTTTGTAGAATACGAAATACAATTAGGGGTTTCACAAGGCGTATTAAGTGTCGTAAAATCTTAATCAGCCTGGAGATGAAGCGAAGAATAACTCTTGCCAACAGTTGGTACTTTGAAAATGAATGCTCTACAAATATATCTCTCATCATGCCCGTCCTTTTATACGGCGCAGAAACGTGGACGATGTCGAACAAAGATCAGAAGGCTTTGGGGGATTTCGATAGAACTATTATACGCAAGATCTACGGATACAGCGATTGCGCTGGCTAGGATGCGTTGTACGCATGGATGACGAAGCTCCGGTGAAAAGATCCTTCGACTCTACACCCATGGGTGGACAATGAAAGCAAGGGCGCCTACGAACGCAACGGAGGGACCAAGCGCAGACGCAAATACGCACAGGAGAGAGGCTTTTATAACAAAAATATAAACATTAAATATGTAAATGAAAGAAATAAAGCCAAACTGGTCAAAATGTCACTTAACTCAATCAGCTGACCACAAGGGTATGTATGTATTAATAAAAGCAGCCAAATTGGCCCCTAAATAAGTTGGATGTATGTATGTGCATATGTATGACATTTTTTTCGAGGTAGACCTTCCGCTGGCAACGCGCATATAATCTTTTGACTTCGAAACTTATTTAAAATGCATTTAATGAACATGCTCACATGCCCGCTTTCTACTATTCAATTTATCTAACTTTTCAGTACCGATTTTATACAAGTACTTATGTACTATTTGAAGGTATAAAATGGATTCCTAAAAATGTATTTTCAGTTTTTAATAGGCAAAAAAATGTATTAGTTTTTAAATGCATTGTGCTGACAAATCATACATATGTGTGTAAATACATACATACATTTCTTTGGATATCTTCTTTAGGTCCCGAGATATTGACCAAAAATTGTTCGGTAATTTTGTTAAAATTGAGTTAATAATTTAGTCATACTAAACTAATCAAGATCTTGAATATGGCGTTATTCACTTTTGAAGATCTCCTCTAAGGGCTGTTTACATACGACTCTCCTCGCTTTGCTTGACAGTTCGAACTTTAAGACAAAGCATGAATAAGGTATGCTATAATAAATGCTTTGGCAGCTTCTGCGTTCTCCTTTTCCTCTATATCTTATCGGTGTAAAATAAATAACAATATAATAATATGCATTAATGCTAGCAATAATAATTCATATTTACTTTGTTTTTGTCTTTAAATGCATGTGCAAGCGCGCGAGAAAAGATACATGTAAACAGCTGATTGCCAAAGCGCGCAAAAGTTGAGAGTTGCCCATGATTTTGTTTCGATTTGCTTTCTGCGCATTCTATTTAGCAAGACTCATGTAAAATAATGTGTTGAACTTATCTGTCACAGCGGAACTCTGATGCAAATCGAAGCAAAGGTCATATGTAAACAGCCCTTTAGTTTTCGAAATTGTGAGTAAAAAGTATCGTTACTTAAGTACAAATACACACAAAGTGTCTGCAAACTTGATGACAAATGTACCTAACATACGACAAAATTTTACTAAAGAAATTCCTTCATAAACTCAAAACTAAAAATAAACAATAAAAATAAAATAATTCTAGAATTGTGTGAGCTAGTAACATTCTCCGGGACTTGGAGAAAATCTATCTTCGAGTTTTTAAGAAACTGCATTCGAAACTTCAATCGCAATTTCCCAAAACCTGCCGAAAGTAACATACGACAATATTTTATCCAGGCGACGATATGTACTATGTATGTATGTACATATATCATTTTCTCTCTAGGAATCAATTACTTAAGATCTATAAATGAATTTGAATTGTAATTTCTTACCTTTAACAGCTTCGTAGTATCCCAAATCCAGCGTGAAGGTTTTATTTTAATCCGTGTGTGGGGAGGGGAAATAAATTTATTAGTGAATAGTCACTGCTGTTGTGCTACTGGTAACTTTCTAACTGGCTTCACTTGTGCTAATAGCTACTGGCGGCCAAATGCTGGTTATTGTTGTTGTTGTGGCTTAAAACGAATATACCCAAAAAGGTCAAGTTGAGATGCTGCTGCAGACAAGCTATGTAACTGAAGGCAATGGGCGCTCAAAAAATTCACTTGTTGTTGCTGCTTTTATTTTTATTATTGCTAGTGATTTTGAATTTTGGTTGTTTCTTTCTTCTTATAATTTTATTTATTTGTTTTTTTTTCTGTTTTGCGTATTTCGTTTTCTACCTTTTCGCCGACGTTGCTCAAAAGTACGTACATACAAACATTCGTATGTGTCTGTATGTGTTTATGTAGTAAAACCGGCAAGTAAGAAGTTAGCCCAACCGAACGTGTGCTGCTGGAAACGGAATAACAATTGATCAAGAAATTACCTTGGAAACGTAGAAGCAAGCGAACGGGTTGTTAAATCAGTGAAAAGAATTTATTTAAGATGGACCCGAAAAACGAGATTTTTTATATTTTCTCGTGCTCACAGTTTTTTCTAGTGTGTTATTTAACTTTATCTACATATATGTAGGTATGTATGTACATGCTTCTCTTGCTTTGATGTTCCTTATTTCGATCTTCTTCGTACTACCTATGTATGTATGTACCTCCTCTTCTGAATGCGTTTTCACTATTTTCTTCGGCTATGGTTTTTTTTTTTTTATTGCCTTTGGTGTGGTGGAGCTTACCGATCTTGGTGGCTCACCACTTGGTAGTGGTTGTGGTTATATTGTTGTTGTTATTGTTTTTAAGCTGCTGAATGTTGTTAAAACAACTCCAATACCCCTTTTCTATTAGCAGTTTCAATTACATATGTATGTACATACTTAGTATGTAAGTACATTAAGGTGGTCCTTAAATGTAGGAAGCACATTTTTACTCAAATTTCTTAAGTCTCAACTCAAATTTCTTCAGTCTCAACCCCTGCCACGATGCTACTGTAGTCGGAGATATCACATATAAATTTTGGTCCCGATTGAAGACGGTCAAGGCGTGTCGCACAGGGGTCAAAGTTCTGATTACCCTATGAAGTCGTCTTAACAGACTCCAATCGGGACCAAAATTTATATGTAATTTTCTTGACTTTAGTCGTACCGATTTTGGGTATTAAATGAAAAAAAATATATATTTTTAATATTTGGAGTCCATAACCGACTGCAATCGGGACCAAAATTTATATGTGATATCTGTGACCGAGGTGTGATCGATTGAGGGTGTGACACTGAAAAAAATCGTTTATTTGATTTTTTAAGGACCACCCTCAGGTACATACATACAAATGTATGCATACATAGCTGCATATATCTATGTATGTATGTATGTATGTATATAACGGAGTTTACTTTCGCGCTACAACTTCATCTGTAATTCTATATAACAATAGCCATTAATTCACAAAATAGCGATTAATTTCCAATTTTTTAT